CCCTGTCTGAATTTATTCGCAGCGTGTTGATGTTCGTTTAGTGATTCGCGAAAATGCAACATAAATCTATCAACTGGCGCAAAATATGACTGATTGAATTAGATTCTCAAAAGTCTTGGCGAAAAAAAAGGCAAAGGAAGACGAAGAGGAGGAGAAAAATAGAAGGGGGGGACCGACTACATACATTTGGACAGACGAAGGCAAAAAAGGGGTAGGAAATTGGAAGCGTATTTTTGCGTTTAAAATTGAGCCAACTGAAAGGGGGGACGGAGGACTGGAACAATAATTCAGAGAGCAAACTTGTTGCAATATGATGCTTGTGTTGCAATTCCGATTAGACTCGGTCGCCGAATCTCGTTGATTTGTGAACTACGTGCCATAAATTGCGGAAACATTCAAAGGCGCATAAATAATGCGGCAGTCGTCTCGTGATAGCCATCGTTCGCTATTTTCGATGGGGGGGGGGTCACAAAATTGAATTGTCTCTCAAAAATCGCTTAACACGAAAAATAATACGCAAAACATTTGGCAAAAAAAAGTTACTTTTTAATGAGGTTTTCAATTTGAATTTTAAAAAATCTGGCTTTTGAAATGTCCGCAGCTAGAAAATAATAGAAAAAAGTCTAGAAGCAAAATGTTAGCCGAAAGATAAACAAACATTCGAAATGTTTTCCAAATAACCAGTGAGATTTATTTTTATTTTAGCTCTCGCTGTATCTTTGAGTTCATCGAACTTTTTCCCTCAAAATGTCGACGTGTTTTCAAGTCGCTGCCGCCACCAATTAGTAGAGTTTCCAAAATTTCTATTTATAGTTGAAGATTCTCTCTAACGAAAGCCACCTGTCAGAACTGGGGGGGGGGCAGATTTCAAAGTCGAGTATTCTGGAACTCGTTTCGTTTCAGCTTCTCCATCACCAACGCACTCAGTAATTAGCGATAATCGTTTGAACATTCGAAAAAAAAAATTCACTTGAGACAATGAATTGTTGGATGAACGCCATTTCGACGACGCAGACCGGCTCGACGGTGTCGAGAGAGCGCGCGATTCGAAGAGGGCGCAGGAAGCGAGCGCGACGAGAGAGGAGAGACGCGCGACGAGACGCGAAAAACAAACAAGCAGTAAGGGGCTTCTACATTTGAGCGTTTGTCTATCTATTATAATGCTGGAAATTCATGAATAGCGTGGATCCGACACCTCATTGACCTCAGATATCGGTCACGAAGCAAATAAGGCCAAGATTCCCAAAAAAATGTTTAATTATGAAAATAAATTATGCAATAATTGTTGATATCACCAATTATAGATATTTAGCTTCAATTAACCTACAATTCAAACATCTTCTAATAACAAGACCAATGATGAAATTATTTGACTAGTTTTCACAAGAAACCAAATATTGCACTATTACAATGGGCATTTTAATTGAAATCAGCTGTCGTAATTCTAGTCCATGAATTTTTCAGAAAATCGCGTTTTTTAAAGATCTTATAAAGAAACCTGGCTTTTTTCGATGTGACGTTTTTCCTGATTGAATAAGTTGTAATAACATACCAAGAGGAACGGGTTTTCATCCCTCGATTCTCTCTCTCTCTCTCTCTCTCTGTGTCTCTTTCTCTCGTTGATTTATCACCAACAAACTTGTCACAAGAAAGAACAATGCAATCACTTATATTAAGTGTATTTCGGGCGAGTTTTTTGTAGTGTGGATTATCCGATCTGAAATAATCCAGACAGAATAACATGACTTCATTTTAAGCTGTTGATATTCAGAAAAAAAAACGATTTTTGCATTTTTTCTTTACATGGCTCTATTGAAACAATTTCGGTGTTATCTTATCAGCATCCATCTCCGTGCTTAATTTCAACATCAAGGCGATTCGACAAAAAAGCTGAAACAACGAGGGGCGGTGCTTTCCAGTCAAATCGGCGTATCTCAATCTCGTGCACTATTTCGCCCGATTCGGTGGTCATAAATGAGATAAGAAATTGCGATTAGACGAAACACTACTAAACGACCGACGACCCGAAATAATTCATCACGTTTGTGGGGGGATTGACGCCGCTTCGAAGTTGGTCTGATGATGACAACGACGACGTCGACGAATTGCACACGCCTTCCGAAATAAAGAAGAAGCATTTTCGCAAAAATCAACTTATGCATATTTAGTGAGAATATTCACAATATATGTACACATAATTTATGAAGTTTCATCGGCCCAAAAAAAATTTCCGAATAACGCCGTCGAATATCATGCATAATACAGGATGAATGAAATGACGATAAGAATCAATCATCAATCAAAAGGAACAATGCGAATCGTTTTTTCTCTTTTGAATACCGAACGCAAACGCATAAATTAACGAGAATCGAGCAGCAGGTCAACAGCAACGAGCAGCAGCCAGCAGATGTTTGGAGATAAGCCATTATGCATTTTCATATCTTGATTCGTATTGGTGGGAACAAAAATGTGAGAGCACGAAACTTCAATTCAAATCGAATCTCGAAAATTCTCTGAAAAATCGCACTCGAATCCGATTGACCAAATCGAAAACATTTCGATTTATTTGCACTTTTCGTCAATCTCAGTTTTCGTCGACTAATTGAATCGAATGTGTGTTCCGCTCATCAAATCACCGCTACTAATTAATCACTGTTTGTCAAACACTGGTGTCAACTGATAAGATGTCTAGTCGATCAAGCGAGCAAATCGAATGATGAGAAGATATTGGCTCTTCGTTTTTTTTTTGTCTTGGCTTCTTTGATGAATTCACGAGGGTTTGAATAGCATGAAGAGTCGCGAAAAAAAAACACGTGAGGGCTCAAAGAGCCGCGATCAGTTGGCGAAATTTCTCGATTTTGCGTTTCGACGATTTATTGAGTTTGCCGAAGAAAAAAAAACGATATGATGACCAGACTCAGTTTTACAGCGCAAATTATTAAACTTGAACAATGATCGGTGACTTGTCAAATTTTGATGAAAAATGACGGCGATTGTTGATTTTGATTAGATATCGAATCTATTAATGGCATTTGGGGCAACTATTTCGTGTTTTTTTATTTGGTTCTTCTTCCTGAAATAATAGAAAATATACCACCAAATATGGGCAATAATTCTTCACTATTCATTTTGAATTGGCTTCATTTCAGAAAACCCATCGATGAGATGGAAAAGAGGAATTTCAAATAAATGTGTGAGCCGAAATTTGATTTTAATTCAAAAATTATCATTTTTCAAATGACGTTTTTATAATTGAGCACGCGAATTTCACAAATTTCGTTGCTCTGCGGGGAAATTTTTGAGAATTTTTTTTTTCAAATTGCATTATTGGCCTTTATAACAACAATGGAAAAATTGGATCCGCTTAGGTAGAGGGACCATTAAGCAAATAGGACAGATCTGTATAACTATATTGAATTGAATTGTGAAGAATGATTGACCAATTTTCTCAGTACTTTCAATTATCATATAATTTTATTGAAAAAAAATAAATTTCTTATAATTTTTTGATATTTTTTGTTAGCGAATAAATTTAGCGATTTTCCTCATGATTATTCATATTTAAATTTTGTAAAAAATAATCATTTGTATGAAAATTTGAATATATCTACATATATAGAAAAATATTCTATGCAAGACCCTCGCAATGAGATTTAAAAATACCTTCGCCGATGATGATTATCAATTAACAAAAAGGGAAAACCCACAATTCGCCATGTTCGATTATTTCATTTCAATTCATTTTTGCCAAATGAGTCATTTTCATTTTTCTCGAAATCGACAATCCATCACAAAAATGCAACAATACTCATTTCAAAGTGATTTTTAATAAATTCTCAAATTTTAGTGAACATGTTGTTTCGACATTTTCTAATATTTTTGAAACCGCATTCTCGATTTTCAATTTTCTGCTGTCCTTCAATATTTTCTTGACTCAAAGGTTCCAAAAATTGCTTCAAATACCATATATGGCCGGCTGTTAGTCAGTCAGTATCGATTCGTCGCACTCTCTTCATATTTGCTTCATCTCTCCATCGGTTTCCCACTCGTAAGCACACCTCTCCGAGTGCGAAACAGTACACGATTCCAAGAGATTTTAGACGATCGCCAGACATCATTTCATGAAATTTCAATGAAACGTTCGTTTTTGAATTGTGCAAATTGTGCACATATTGTTTGCAGGAGCCCCCTCATGACAACGGCGTGGCATTTTACCGGACCACCTGAAAGGTAATTTTTGCCAAATTTTTGAGCGATTAGTACAGTTGCCAAATTATCGTTTCGCAATTGATAAGATAATTTTTTTAAAAATCAATTCTGCAAATTTGGTTTGAACAGATAATGATTTTATACCATGATGTTTGAAAATTAGAATGCGAGTACCATACGAGTTGACATACCTAAAGAAAGGTCGAAGTAGGTCAATAGGTCAACATGAGAAGCAAACAATATTTCGAGAAATCCACGATTTTAAATTCAAATAATTTCGAGTTTTTTGAATTTGAGTAGGTTTTCAAGGCATGCACCTTTAAATTTGATCTCGCGATCACAGAAAACGTCATAAATGCACATCATTAAAGGCGCATGCTCATAAAATCTTTTCAATTAATCTTACTAGATTTGAAATGATGTTTTAGATTATCATTTCTTCAGAACGTGAATGGTTTCATTTATGAATTCGGCGTTCAAATTAAAGAGAAGGTATTTCAAAATCCATGATTTTTTCAAATATTTGAAAATTTCAATATTTGTAAAAATTTTCTCTTCGAAATTGAATGATAATAAAAATGAAATAAAATTTCGTTTCCCATAGTAAAGACGATTGTCAATGTGGTATCGTACATGTTTTTTCTTTTATTTTTTTTTGTTATTTTTGAATTGTCAAACCATGCTTTGTTTTGCTGTCACATTATGACATCATTTCTATTCTTATGGGAATCATTATTATTATTTTTAACTGAGTGCTTGAATTAAAGAAGAAGTCGTATTGAATAATTGCGATGAATCCATTTGATGTGATCAATCCGACGATTCACAAATTCTATTTGGCCAAGTTTCCATAGCTTTCATTTTCTATTCATTTTGAGACTATTCATATTTTTTTTTAGCGATATCGATGATTTGGGATTTGTTCGTCCATGGTCGGCACGAGAGGAAAATGAGAAGCTGAAAGAGTATGAGGAATGGTATTCGTCATATTTGCCGATAGTGGCAAGAAGGAGAAAACGATGGGAAAAAGAGAATCCGCGGAGGAATCATCATCTTCGTTCGTCGCTTCTTCCTTTTCCTTTTTTGGTGGCAATCATTTCAAATTTCAGTGCAACGATTCATTCGAAAAGGAATTCCGCACGTCTATCGAAAAGAGTTGTGGCTTCGAAGTTGTCCGGCGAGAAGCGATGGCTATTGGGAAACGTTCGAGGTGCCGGACGACATCGTCAAAGCGATTCAATTGGACCTTCCGCGGACGTTTCCCGACAACAAATTTTTGAAATCGGAAAAGTTTGAAATGATTCGTGTTTAGCGCGCTTACTGAATTTTTGAGGACCCAAAAAGCACTTGGACGAGCATTATTTGCAGTTGCCGAACACATTCCGGAGGTTGGATATTGTCAGGTATCGTTTTTATTTCGACTTCTCTAGAAGAAATTGCAATGGCTTCGTTTCTATTCAATTTTTTGTGTGTTTACACACTGACGCAATTTTACACACACCTATCAATTTTCGCCTTCAAATGATTTTCTTCAAAAAAAAGTAAAGAGAAAAGTAGATTGTAACAACATTTAAACATTCTTTTATTTAAGTATAGTCGGCATCCGGCGACTGGTGTAGATTTACGCGCATGCGCCTCGAAAAGGTCTCGCCACGTGTGAACGGTTAATTTTTTCTTGATGAGTTTGGCATTTCTTGGAATTTTTCACGTTGTTCGTTTTCAAAAAATATCGAGCCGGTCTATAAAATGCGGAATAATCTGCTAGTCCGTGCGAGACCAAGAGAAAGGAGCATCACCGTAAATCTACAACAGTCGCCTGACGCCGGCTATATGGACAATCCAATGCCAACTTTGAAAAAAGAAATAATTTCAAGCCTGAAATTAATCTTTTAATTTTTTTCTTCACTATTTCATTGATATGCGACTGCGGAAAATATGTTAAATGCCAAAAATAAAAAAAAAGGTCCCGTAAGTCGATTTTCTAGACCCCATAAATCGTCATTTTTTGCTTTGCCAATTTTCGGCAATAGTTGTCTTCAAGGGTCTCAACTTCGTTGCCGGTCTAATTCTTCTTGTCGTCAATGATGAGCGTCGTGCCATCGACCTTCTCGTCCATTTGGTCTCACAACGAAAAGAATATTATGGGAAGAAGATGATCGGACTACGTCGCGACATGCATGTGCTGCACCAGTTGATGCGCAAATACTGTCCGCGTGTGGCTGTAATGATCGATCGATTAGATATCGGTTTCGACATTCTGGTGGGAAAATGGTTCGTGTGCTGGTTCGTCGAAAGCCTCCCAATGGAGGTAAATTGCAAGATTTTGTTTCGCTCAAAAATGCTAGATGATTTCGAGACGGTTCTCCGAATATGGGATTGTCTGATTTATGAAGGCGATGAATGGCTGTTCAAAATCGCAATCACACTGTTTCGCTCAAACATGATGGCATTGTCGCATTGCCATTCGATCGATCAGGTCTTGACACAAGTTCAGAACATCGGAAGCAGCAAATCGGCATTGTATTGCCATCAATTGATATTGGTAGCAAGCAAGTTTTTTTGGGGAAATAATGAAGGAATGATTTTCAGAAAAGTGCACAATTGCCAATTTCGAAAAGTGTTTTAGACGAGCTACGCGAAGAAGCGAAAAGAAGCATTCCAAATTAGTATTCCATATTTTTTCTGGGTAATACGGATAAGCATTATTCATGTCTTTTACATATTGTTCGGTATTAGATGACTCATTTCTTTGTAAAGATGAAATTGAAATAAATTAGAATTTAATAAAAATTTATAGAATGTTCTGTTGTAAGTAGCAACCATAATTGGATATTAAGAAAAACACTAATCACACAGGGGATCATAATCACTCTAGGGCACGGACATGGATCTTGTTCTTCAAATCTTAACAAGAGAAATTTGAAGGGAGAGGGGTGGGGGTCACAGAAGCGAATTGACGACATCAATAAAGCCCTTAAAAGATTATAGCTGGAAGGAAGATGAGCAGTTCGAGAAAGCCGACCTACATGGATTTCTTGCAGCTGCAGCAGACCCAATAAAAGTCAAAAAATTTAGAATAATTTCCGATTTTATTATTTATTTTTTATTATTATCTGTGGACATTTTTTAACACTCGGAAGGCCATAGAAGCGAATAGACGACATCAATGAGGCCCTAAAAAGTTGCTGGACCAAGCAACAAGAAGAAGCTGTGGCTGGAAGGCGAAGACGAGGAGTTCTCCAAAAGAAAAGATATGCAATTCGAGAATGCTGAACTTCGCAGCTCCAACAACAATAAAAATATTTAAAGTGAATATCATCTGCAGACATTCAATCGCCGGTTTGTTGATTCGCGGAATTTCCGGTGGCGCGGGTCCTTGTTGCTTTTAAACCCTACCTCGTATATAATTTTTATTTTCGTTTGCATCAATTTGATCGTCATGAAGCCTTCGAATTTTCGAAATTGTGAGGATTCATTTAATCTATAAATTCTTCTTCGCACCCCGCATTTGGACAAATTCAAACTCAATGATATTCATCGATCTCATAATTGCCTCATTTTTATTTCAAACAATTCAAACTCAAAATGTTGCAATTAAACCAAAGGTAATTTTTTGTTGAAGTTTTGAGTCAAAAACTTGAATTCATGGTTCAGATTAAAGTTGGAATTTGTGCAGTTCAAGACATTGAAACCGATATGATTGGATTCGCACAAGCCGGCGGTGCTGTGGCGATTTCTTTGAAGAAATTGCAAGAGCGAGGATATCTGAATGATTTCGACTTCGAGTCTCATTTTTGAATTTCATTTTCTAGTTTTTTAGCGATTCGCATTCTAGATTTGTCGTCGAGTATACCGAATGTGATCGTGGAAATTCGGCAAGAGTCGGACTATTGTTCATGCGAAATTCCGATATCGATGTGATAATCGGACCCCCTTGTCCAAGTGGTTTCATTCAGAATCCGACGCATTCTCAATCGACACCTTTTTAAGCGATTTCGATTGTCACAAGCATGGCAACAATCTTCAATAAACTAGTGCTTGGTTGGGGATTTGTGAGCGATTCCGAGTTTTCCGACATGTCACGATATCCGAATTTGGCTTCGATTATGACTAATTCCTTAACGTTTGAACAAAATTCAAAAAAAATTCTGATGATTTGAAATTCAGATTAGGGTATGCGGTGTCGGCGATTCTCGAAAAATTTTCTTGGGAAAAAGTTGCGCTTCTCTATATGCCAAGCGAGTTGAAATTTTGTGAAGGTGTCATCGCCGATGTTGAGGTTTGCCTCGAATGTTCGAATCTTTCAAAAATTGAATGAAGACAGTTCTCAACTATCCGTCCACCTATCAAACGAGTATTGTGTATAAAAATATTCTGAATATAAGCAGCGAATCTGAAACCAATTCCACACTTCAAATAGTCAAGTCGAGATCTCGAGGTATTCCAAATATCGGATTCAAGTGCAATTATTAATTTTTCGTTCAGTTATAATCGTATGCCCACAAACAGCTGCTGAAAAACGAAAATATTAATTAGCGATTTCGAAGCTCGGAATGACCTCAAACGAGTATGTCCATTTGATGCTTTCATTGAGAAGTATCGGATTCGGGAAAACAGCGTTAGGAAAGACGAAATGTAATAGAATTGAGTAGAAAATAACAAATTGAATAACTTATGATAGTTATTTCAACTGGATTATCTCCGATGTGGGAGGATACAACCAACGATGATGGAGTGGAAGAAGTCGCGAAAAAAGCGGCAACGAAAATTTTGATTGTAAGGCATTTCGAAGAAGGATTTGAATAGAAATATGATTTCAGATTGATGTTAACAGCCAAGTGAAAGACTTGAAAACTCTTCAATATTTTCAAGACAATGCTATCAAAGCGGTAAGAGAGGCGCCGATTAATTGCAAAACTGCGGCGTGCTTGCAAGCCGAAACTGGAGTGGTAGGACAGAATGCGACGAGTCCGAATGGCGATCGAATTGATTCAGGGAACCGCTTCGTATGCTCGACATCTGTTTGATGTGTTTTATTTGTATGGAATTGCTCTCGCTAGTCTCAACTCGACCGACCCGAAGATCTATAATAACCTGACGGCGCTCAAATCCAAACTTCTCACTTCATTTGATGGTTTTGAATTTCAATTTTAGGATTCACAATCGATTTTAGGATTAACCGGAAGTGTGATCCTTAATAATAATTTGGTTCGAAAGCCATTCTATCAAGTTTTTGGGTTAACTCAAGAATATGAGCAAACGACATTGATGAATATTACATATGCTGATGATTCGCCATTGGCGGTGAGTAAATAAAAATAAAAATATATTCAATTAACTATTTGATTTATTTTATAGCAAATATCAAGTGCTTATGTTGATGAATCGAAAACAATGTGGAGTTGGTGGAATAGAAATAGGTAAGACCGTTCGATTGATTCCGATATTCTTTCATTTATTAATACCAAATTTTTTGTTTCGTCGTAATTCCCTGAAAATTTATAATATAGAAATTCTTTAAAACTGAAGACGATGCAAAAACGCTTTCCTATAGAAACACGCAATTTTATTCATTAAAAAAAATTATTTAGTGGCTTAAAAAATGCGTTTCGTTGGCCTCAACCTAATAAATTCTAAAAACGTGAATTACCTAAAAGAAACGCTTTGAAAATTCTTATGAAATTGTATAATTTCAAGGCTTTTTCAGACCATTGGCTACTCCGATCTGCGGATTTTACCTCATACTTCTCGTTGCTTCTGTTGTCGTTTTAGCCTCGCTTTTGATAGTTGGATGCATTTTTGCCATGTGCTTAATACGGTAGGAGAAATAAGGCACTTAATTAATTAATTAAGAATTTTATTAGAAATAAGAAGATTGAACAAGAACGACAAAATGCAGAATGGCAGATTCCTTTCGTAAAGTTGTTAACTGTGGAAAAGGTAATTAGATTGTGATTAATTAATTGTTTTTTTTTTCTATTATTGAATTATTCAAGAAAGAACGAGGATCGACGAGTAAAAGAAGCTTGCAATCAACACCATCGACAATTACGGGTAATTATGTACAATCAATTTTCATTGCCGAAATTTTCAAGCAAAGATTACTGTAGATTTCAAAAGTAGACTTGGAAAACCTTAAATATATTTATTTTTTTTCTTTTAGTCATAGCAAAGAAATTAACTGAAGCTTCTAAAAATCAAACAAAACGAACTTTTCCGAATTTTTAGACCCGGAAAAAATGCTTCCGAATGGTTTTTTTCCGCCCATTCCAGATATGTACTACATACGTATATTAAACATTAGGAGACAGCAAATTTTCTCATGAAAATGAGTTTGACGAAAATTATTCGTTGCGAATTTACGGCAAAGAGGTGGTTCTAACGACGAATCATGTTGCAACCAATCTATCAAAACTCGACTATGACAAGTTTGTCAAGGTTTTCCAATGAATTTGATCGTCTAATTAATGAGTTTGCTCGCAGATGCGAAAATTGGACCATGATAATATAAACAAGTTCATTGGATTATCGATCGATGGTGTCATGTATGTTGCAGTATGGAAGCTGTGCGGTCGAGGAAGTTTGAAAGTCAACCATTCACATAATTGAATTTAAAAGAAAATTGAAATATATTCTAGGATATCATATCAAAAGGCAATTTTTCAATGGATTCATTCTTTATGTTATGTATAATTCGCGATATTGCTGAGGTAACAAATTTCGGGGACAGATTCTCATCAACTCCCCAATTTTGGGTTCAATCTGATGTTAGCTCGAAATTATAATAAAGCAGAAATGGCATATAATCGGAGGGAGAGGTGAATGGTAAATAAAAATGGAGGTAGAAAATTGGGGGCTAAAAATCAGGGGTGGTCAAAATTTCAGTGGGGATAAAAAATTAAGGGGCTGAATCCGATGGTCCGTTTCAAGCCACCATTTTCTTAAATTTGTTTTTCATTAAGGGATTACGATATTTACATGATAGTTTTCTGAAAACCCACGGCAACTTACGCTCAGCGACTTGCCATGTCAATGATAGTTGGCAGGTGAAGCTCACCGATTTCGGTTTAAGCAACCTGCAGGAAGAGGAAGTGCCATCAAAGCGAAGTAATTCCATATACATTTGCGCCATCGGCTGATCGCTTGTGTGATATTCAGGATTGTTATGGGTTGCTCCAGAAGTTATTCGAGGATCACTCGGTCCGAATCAATTGGAACCGTCAGCCGATGTCTATTCCTTCGCGATAATTGCGAGCGAAGTGTTAACAAAAAAAGAAGCATGGGGTTTATTGGATCGCAAAGAGAGTGTCGATGGTACGGCTTATAATGAATATCGAAATAATTGCTTATGCAGAAATCATTTATCAAGTGAAGAAAGGCGGACAATACCCAATGAGACCCGATCTAGTGGAAAATGATTATGAGATAAATGTGGATTTGGTTTGCAAACTGAAAACTTTCGAATTGTGAATTCTCGATTTTCAGATTCGTCTTGTTAAGGAATGCTGGAGTGAGACTCCTGAAGATCGTCCAACTACTACCATAATCTGCAAAACACTTATCGAACTGATGCCAAAGTAATTTATTCAATTTATATTTTGAAATAATTCAAAATTGGTTTGAATGTGTTCAGAACAAAAACGAATCTAATGGATCACGTATTCAATATGCTCGAGGAATACACGACGACTCTGGAATTAGAAGTGGATGATCGGACGAAAGAATTGACCCTTGAAAAAAAGAAGGCCGATATATTGCTAGGCAGAATGCTGCCAAAGTACAGATATTTTTAGACATGGTTTATAAGCTAAAAATTGAATATAGACAAGTTGCAGAGCGTTTGAAAGCTGGACAAACTGTCGAACCGGAAGGATTCGATTCGGTGACGGTGTTCTTCTCCGATGTTGTCAAGTTCACTCAATTAGCCGCAAAATGCTCCCCATTCCAAGTATTGATTATTTCAATCGCAATATGTATCCAAACAGATTAACTTGTTAAGGTTGTCACACTTCTTAACGACTTGTACAGTAACTTCGATACGATAATCGAGGAGCACGACGCCTACAAGGTCGAATCGATCGGCGATGGATACCTTTGTGTGTCGGGACTCCCAATAAGGAATGGATTCGCTCATATCAAACAAATCGTCGACATGTCATTGGAATTCATGTCATATGTAAAAAAGTTCAAAATTCCACACCTGCCGAGAGAATATGTGGAATTGAGAATAGGTATAAATAGCGGTAAGTTTTCTGACAGAACTGAATCGCAACTTCGACTACTAAACATAATTTATACATTCATATGTGGAAAAATGACGAATGTGAAAAACTGCAGCGATTTCCTATGCATTGTGTGTGTACACCGAGTCGCACATCTCCATCTTAGCTACAGTAATCTCAACTGAAAATTATTTTAATTAATTATTGATCGCTTCTTTTTATATAAAACAATTAACTTTGAATAATATACAAAAATAATTACTATTAAACTTTTTCAAAGCAACAATATACATAAAGCCATAAATCGCCAAGAAAGCATAGAAATAATAAATTGAATAATTTTTAGTTGAGATTACTGTAGCTAAGATGGAGATGTGCGACTCGGTGTACACACACAATGCATAGGAAATCACTGTAGTTTTCCACATTGCTCATTTTTCCACAATAATAAATTATTTGAGGACCATGTGTTGCCGGCGTTGTTGGTTTAAGTATGCCTCGCTATTGCTTGTTCGGTGATACCGTTAATACTGCTTCGAGAATGGAGAGCAACGGAAAAGGTTCCCCTCCCCCCCCGTATATTGACCATCTTGTTGTTGTATCGCCAAATTTAGCAAGTCACATTCACATGTCAAGTGCAGCTCATTCTCTTCTGACAAGTCATTATCCGCATCAGTATGAGACATGCTCAAGAGGAGAAGTCATTATAAAAGTAATTGCTGCTGCAATTTTTCTATGAGACCGTATTTATTTGCTTGTTTAGGGAAAAGGTGTTATGGAGACATTTTGGGTGTTGAACCGCCTTGAAGATGCGACTGTTAGGGTAGCGACACCTCCAAAGTCTATTGTAGGAGCGTTTAATAATATTCTAATATTAAGCTTTTAATTTTGAATAGCTTCCGACGTCTACCAGCGACTATCGTGGATCTCCTTCTGTTTTCTCCGTTTCATCAGAAGAACATAGATCTGTTAGTCCAATTGCAGCTCATTACGAAGAGCAAACTCCATTGTATCGAGGATTTCGGAAAAATACATTAAAAGTTTAAATTTAATAAGTTTTTTGCCATGCATATAAATTAAAATTTATAGTATTGTTATTGTTTTTGCCAATTTGATGAAATTGCAATAATTGTGTGTATTTGATAAATTTTAATTCCGAAAGAATGAACGATATGCGGTCGTGTTGCATCAACCGCGCGGCATTTGCAGGACTAGTCACGCCCCCAAAAACTGATTTTTCATCTCTCGCCCTCCCGCTGGTTTTCAACCTCTCGTCACGATTGTTTTCTCGATTTTAATTCTTTTCATGTCAACGCTTTTTATTACACGTTTGGATTGATAATACCGATGTTTTCACTTGAAATTTCCCAAAAATCGTGTGTGTTTTTAAATCGACTTTTTAGATGGCCACTGCTGTGAAAGGAAAAATCTTGGCTGTCATCGGAGACGAAGACACTGTTGTTGGATTTTTGCTCGGAGGCGTTGGCGAGCTCAACAAGGTAATATTCTTCAATTTTTTTCTTTTTAAAATTTAATGTTTAGGCAAGAAAACCAAACTATTTGATTGTCGATAAGCAAACGGCTGTGCAAGAAATTGAAGACGCTTTCAAGGGATTCTGCGCTCGTGACGACATTTCGATTATTCTTATCAATCAGCACATTGCTGAAATGATTCGTTATGCTGTAAGTTTTCTTAAATTATTTTCAACCGAGAAGTGAGCTAAATTGTGTTAAAAGTAATAATTTTTCACGCCAAAATGTTGATGCCATTTATCGGCTGTTTTAAAGGTTGACCAGCACACTGCTTCTATCCCAGCCGTTCTTGAGATTCCGTCGAAGGAGGCCCCATACGATCCAAGCAAGGTAGAACTTCTTTCAATGAAATCATTTAGCCGACGTTTTATTACAGGACAGCATTCTCCACAGAGCTCGCGGTCTCTTCAACCCAGAAGACTTCCGATAAATTCAATTTTCTTCTTCTCAGGACATGGAAATTGCAAATTAGTCGCCTATCGTACATTCCAATCAGTTTTAACAATATTATTCCCCACCGCAACCCTGTTCCTTCTGTGATCAGAAATCGATCGTAGTGTTTCATAGCGATTTGCTTTCTCCTCTCTCTATTTTTTATTCGATTATATGATGTACAGTTTCAAGCACTAATGAACAATTTTAACGGCAAAATATGCAGACAGCACTCAAGTTTTTAGTCGTTTAAAATTCCGGATCGAATATTTTACGTGACCGTTTTTGTCAATTTTGAATTGAAACCCGCATTCATTTCAAGCAGAAACATGCTGCGTAAAATTGTCGGAAATCTGCTGGTGAATGGCTCGAGAACGGTTTCATTTTCGACAACGATTCGCAGAAATATCGGGATTCCGTTTGTCATCGACAATGAAGGAAAAGGCGAAAGAACCTATGATATTTATTCGAGACTTTTAAGAGATCGAATTGTTTGCCTCATGACACCGGTAATCGATTTCAATCTTTTTTTTTGAAAATAAGACATAAATCAATTCGTTTTTTAAATATTGATTTTGGGGAAATGCTGAAAAAAATTTGAAAAAAAAAAGATAATTTCAAAGTTGAAAAAAAATATTTCAAAACGTGTTGGGAATTTGATAAATGATTAATAGAAATAAATGTTTCACACAAATACAAATTTTATTCCTATGTAATCAAGAAATGCTTAAATTGGCGCTAAAATTCGAATCATTTTTCGAAATATTGAAAATTTTCCAATTTCCAAACGACGTCTACGATAATGAAAAGGTTTAAAAAACATAAACGTTAAGCGATTGCCAAAATATTGACGAAAATAGAAATTTCTCACTTTTCAGGTGGATGATTTCATGGCTTCAGCTCTGATTGCTCAATTGCTATTTCTTCAGAGTGAAAGTGGAAAGAAGCCGATTCACATGTACATCAATAGTCCAGGTATTTATTTATTCGTACTAGTTTGGCGACCAGGGGAAAACACTCCTTATCGCTTGGCGCGGTTTCCTTAAATACCACGCCTCGTGTCTTTTCGGTTTCGCGAATCATGAGAATATAATTTTTTAAAAGCAACACAAAGGAAATGTGTCATTAAAGAAAATTCAACGTTTGTGGTGGTTTCGACATATAAAAAAACATCCAAGATATATTGTTGGCGTCGCCCAGGTGAAAATGCTAAAAATTTAGGTAAAAGTCTTAGTGCGCCTTTAACCTATCCTTATGCGTAAATCTGCACTTTTTGTTTGCGCCAAGACCACTATTGTTTTTCTGGAATTTTGCCAATTTTCCGTAGTCGTCCGACTTCGACAATATGACTCTCGCAAAAAAAAAATGGGTGCCACCTGAGTACTTATGGATTCCATTTTTTTTTGTATTTTTTGGACGCGGTTATTCAAATTTATGTTTAAACATGCTAATTTGGGTCCCGTACTACGGGAAACCCTGCGGAGCTAACTCTTCATCGTAAAAGTGTTCATTTTTTTTTAAATTAGATATATAGTTTTTAAATATTTTCAAAAGATCTCGAATAATAATTGTGTGAAATGAAATTTTCTAGGAGGAAGTGTGACTGCTGGTCTCGCCATCTACGACACCATGCAAATGATTAGTGCACCAGTCGCCACATGGTGTATCGGACAAGCTTCTTCGATGGGATCACTGTTGCTCGCCGCTGGTGAGAAGGGAATGCGCACGACACTTCCGAATGCTCGGATTATGGTTCATCAGCCAAGTGGTGGTGCACAGGTAAATATTTATAGATTTAAAAAAAAGTACAACCCGTAAAAAAGAGTGAAATTAAATTAATATCGAAGTTGGAAATTCTGCGCCAATTCCTGATCCAAATCGTAAATCATATTATTGATTTCAAAATGAAGCGATTGGAAAACTTCGGTTTGTTGACGTTGGAGTTCTTCGCTATTCTTTTCCGATCTGTAACAAATATTTAGTTCAATTTCATTCTGAATTGTATGTACGTTTTAATCGAGTGAGTAAGAAAATTGAAATCATGGAGTATGAGAAACTCCTTCAAATCGTTGGTCAGCTTTAGAAGTTCGTCGGAAGCACGAACCTAAAATTGAAATTAAAATTTGAACATTAAAATCGCATAATAATGGCATTACCATTAACTGTGCACGAACAGCCATTTCATTTTTAGTCGTGTAGAATTCGGTCATCTTGCCGTTTAGGTTTTTATGCGAATTCTCATCAGTGTTCACCTGTGGAATATAAAATATGAGTTATTTAGAAATTTTCAGTCATGAATTAATGTTGCTGATATTGTTTTGTAAAAAAAATTTAAAAGAAATACTTTTGCGGCGGTCACAATGTGGAAGAAATTGTCGTTGAGCGATTTGATGTTGTCGCGAAGTCGCCGTTTGAATTCCTATTATCAAATTTATTTTTCAAATCATATTAATTATATAATTACCTGGATAATTAGTTGTTTTGTTGCTACTGCCCGACTCTTTTTTCCGCCTGTATTTTGAACAGGATTCATTTTTTTTTGCTGGAAATTGAGAATACGCGAAAGATGAAATTAAGGGCAGTCAAAAGTGGTGCAAACACCGATGTGCGGCAATGCAGACAAATAATGCGATTTGAAAATTGATGAAGCATTTAAAGAATTAAAGTTCCAAAACAAACTAAAAAATACAATAAGATATATTTTCGTGAGTGAATTAACAGAAATAGTTCGGTTTCATGCAAATGGTAAAATTTTTATCCGCCGTAATCATTTTTGGCTGGAGTTTGAGGGATTTGAAATATTTTTTTAAGCATAACAATTTATTGAATATTGGCTAAACAGAGCGAATTATAAAACGTTGGAAATTTCAGGGAACATGTTCGGATATTGTGATTCGCGCCGAGGAAATCCAAAGATTGAAGAAAAGATTAAATGAAATTTATGTTCACCACACTGGAATGTCGTATGAGGTAATTTTCCCTGTGCACTTTAAATTTTTAATATTTCTTTAAAGGAAATAGAACGATCATTAGACCGCGATCGCTTTATGAGTGCTCACGAAGCCTTGAAATTTGGTATTGTCGATAAAATTGAGACCCACGGAGGATCGATGCCTACTGAGTGAAAATAGAATTAGTTTTCGACCATTTTCAAGTAATTATCGATAATTTTCAATATAACATTTCTATTTAGTAAACTTTTCGTTTCATTTTCTTTAGATTTTGTATGTCCAATTCCATTTGTAAATATTTGTTAAAATAAATAGAATCTTTGAAAATTTGTACGTGATTTCCGACAAGTCGGCCTTTTTGGCGGAATCTTTGGAATTTGGCAACTATTTTGACAACACGATCATCTCCGTAGTGGTTTTCTGCTCCCGTGGGCTCTACGTCAAAACATTTGCCACCAACACGTGCGGTATGAGGAAGGGGGATGCCATGACGTCACGATTTCATGTCAAATTGACATGACCCGGCTAATTGGTTGCAAAGGTGAGAACATTCGTTTAATTTCGACGCCGAGCTGAGCCTTTCTATAATTATTAATTTATTATTCGAATTTATTATCTGCATTTAATAATCGAAATGATTAAATGTTTTGCATTCAATGAAGAAATGTTTGAAAAGCAAAAATAATTGAATGAAAAACAACTGTGCAAAATTGCGTCGCAATTACTACACAGTGAGTTGCTACAGTAGTCCAATGGAAGAAAAAGGGCTTGAATATTTCGAACTTCTTCATCGTTTCTTAAGCTATTCCGAAGCGCCTGATCCAATAATCAGATGGGTAATTGTTTATTCTCCTCGGAGATTGTGCGCCTCTCTTTTGTTCGCCTTCATACTCATCTTTTTTTTTGAGCCTAACATTGGTGTCTGGTTTTATTTTCGGCTTCTTGAAATAAATAAGCGAAAGCATTTGGTTGCGATGAGTTGAGGAAAATAAATTGCGCGACAAATTGCAACTTTCCTCCTCAACGCTCTTCAATTCAAATTAATTTTCATCATCGTCGGTGTGTTGTGTCTTCAATTCAATGACGACATTTCCGAAAAGATTTATGAAAGCCCAAGTATAACTGAAAATGAGGATTGCCATTTTTTTGCTAGAATGATTCATTCTGCTTGTATTAGTGAACAAAAGCAATCGTCTAATGACATCATTCGTATCGTAATGGCGGTATTGTTTGAATTAATCGGCGCCTAATTGTGATCTACTAAAAAATGAAACTGCTCCGATGCATTATTCATTCTAATTGGTCTAATTGTCGCCTCGAAATTTTTTCTCTCCAATGTTTTTTTGTCGTTTTTATTTCTCTTAACTTTATCCCATTTCTATTTGCTGTTCAATTTTTTTCCGATCGTCAAAGCTGATCAAATATGAATGGTTGGGTGTATTCGGAGCTAAATGATTCTGAATTTCGTGCCAAATGTCGATGGTCACTCGTCGAAGACAAAACGTTCCCCAGAGTGTCGCTTCGCTACAAAAAACCGCCCGCGCTTTCGACGGCTTCTTCCGCGTTTTTACCAGACGAAAAAAAACTTGCGATTTTATGTTGAAAACTCGCGTCTTCCTTTTTTTTGGCCTACTCGTTTTTGAGCTTCTCCTATTCCTCAATCACTTTTTATGTGTATGATTTCGCCGAGCGATTTTTGACTGACATCATCATGATCAAATGTCACACACTTCATCTAAAATAATGACGCAGCAACAGCAGCAGATTTTTTCGATAGGTTACCATTCCTAAATTCTGAGTTCATTGCTCTCATTGCATTCAAAAATTGCGATTTGAAATTTTGCTTTCTGATTTTGCAACTTGTATGGTGCGTTTTCCAAAAAAAGCGGCTGTCAGAATTTTTTTGCTGCAAGACCTTCTAGTACAGACGCGTTGCAATTCAGAGAATTCTGTGGTAAATGACTCGTCGTCATTTACGATTTAAAATTTCAAAATATTTGTCGTATAATTTTTGAAATCCAAATCGCATACGATATATTTTAAAATAGCAATCGCATTTAGACGCGTTTAAAGAGCGATTTGGTCGTATACGATTACGAACCATTGGTCAGAGTTTTGAGCGCACACGACCCACATCGCGTCTAACGACCTCATCGATTCGAAAAGGACGATTGGGTTTGGTTTAAAAATTGGGGTTCCACGGGGTTTCCCAAAAAAATTCCGCGGTTTGTCCCAAAACCGTTTCACCTTTCCAGTACGACACTCCAATTACACATCGCCCTCAATTTAGCGTACTTTTTTTGTTTGATTTTTTGCCGGTTATCCCAAACCGAAAAGTGTCTCCTGCTCGTCGCGATCGAAATTGTTTAGGGCTGAAAAATTTAGAAATCGAGTTGCTTTCTTGATTAACAATAAATATTCGAACTCTTGTTCTTTGTTTTTGTTTTTCATGTTTTTGCTAGTGCCAATATTCAAAATTTGGCAATTAATTGGATTTCAATTCCAATTTTGGTTTCAAAAATTGATTGCTCATCTTCTATTCAAATTGTTTCTTTTTTTTAAACATCAATTAATAGTCATAAAAATTCTCGAAAGGTTCGCCCCACCTTCTCGCTAATTATCCTCCAACACCAATTAGCAGCGCAATTAGCGTTATCCATTCCATTCGTGTTAATATTTCTCATATTCGTTTAATAATAATAATGGAGCGAGTTTCAATAAAATGTGATCATCAACGGGCAATTGTTTTCAAAGTGATTTTGATTTTTTTGTTGGTTCTCTGAAAATTTTCCAAAATTCTCGAATTTCAGAGGAGTTGCTCCATCGATTTCAGCAGTGATTTTTCAAATGCAATCAGAACGAGAAATTCTGTTACGAATGAGGAGCTCCCGAAGATTATGGTAAGAGTTTTTTTTTTGGTATTCAATTTTTGAAAATAATTTTGCAAAATTTTTCTCCCCAATTTCAATAAACTACGTGATGATCAGAAAATTGTTTTTTTTTCGCTTTCTTAAAACCAATTTGATGAAATTTGTGAAATTTTTCCAATTTTCGCAATTTTTTGAGGCAAAATATTTCAATGTCAATTAAAATATCGCGAGAATTTCAAAGAAATGAGAATGGCGTTTGAATTGCCGCCAAAACAGCGCCGCTTTTTGGAGTTTGTCGCAAATATCTTCTATTTTTTTGGTATTTAGTCTTTATTTAGCACTTGAGGCTTAAAAATTAGAAAATTTGTAATAAACGATAGCACCCGAAAATAAGAAAAAAAAACACACACAAAAAATTTTTAAAAACTCGACTCATTCCATTTTTTCGGCTAATTTCTTTTGTAGAGAAATTAACATTTTTTGTGCATTTTATCTAATTCCATACTACTGTTGGATATATTATTAAGTAGTTTGTTTCAGAAGTATATTGAGTTTTTAAAATGGTTCTTTAATTATAGCATTTTTCTATCAAGAGTTTGAAGACCTCAAAACCATATTACATAAATATTTTCCCAAAATCTTCATAAAGGAGAGCAAGTATATCTTCTTTCATATGGCCTTAAATGAAGGTTTCGATAAATTTCTGATATTTTGTGCATATTCAAATCGCATCAAAATTACTCGAATCACTTCTATTAAAGGTGGTCTCACGCCGAAATTCGAGTATACCACAAATTGTCTTCAGCTTCTAGTCGGCATTCGGTAAAATTGAGAGGGATCCCCGTGCGGGTGGGGAGGGACTTGGTCCTGATCAAAATTTGTCCAGCGACGAGGTCCCGCTCAATCATACCGAGAATAGTCATCAGCCAACGATGGGCACATGAAATCAGGTCAAAAATCAAATGAACTGGTTCATATTGCAAAAAATGATGCTGATGTTTGGCGATTTTTCCAACAAAAAAAAAAGATTTTCCACCTGCAAACCGACTTTTTCAAATTGAAACTCGATGTCATCTGTCGCACGTGTCGTCGACACTCTTGATGACATCATCATTCACCGAACGCGTTTTACCGGTTCTCTTCTCAACGTGATCCATTGTTGAAAAAAAAGTGTTGCGGGTTTTTTTTTGATTGGGCAAAAAGCCAAACGAACTTGAGAAAACTATAGCTGATTCATTTTCCGAATTGAATTAATGCGAAAATCCACGAAAAAAAAGAAGTTCGATGTTCGCGATGACGTTAAAGACGAGCAAAAACGTCGTAAATTTTATGCCCCTCAATGAGAAAATATTACAATGAAGTCAAAAATTTCAAAAAACTTTTCCGTGGTTTTTTTCTCAGTAGGTTTTAATCGAACTTTGCTCCAAAAATTCTTGTTTTCTTTTGGCTCCAAAAATCGTTCCCATGGGATAATTGCAATTATTTCGATTTAATATGATACATTGAACGTTTCTGGTTTTGAGTTCAACGATAGAAAAGTTCAAAAAAAGTGAGCTGACTCCCCACCTTTTTATAAATGGGCTGAGAATTTTGCACAAAAATGAGCACCTATGGTGTTTTCGAAGACTGTCAACTGCCAAAATCTGAAATCATTCAGGCGTGACATTTGCAAAATTCTTCTGCATGCGCCTTTAAATGTATACTGTAATATTGGGAATGTGCGAAATGAAAAAGTGCTTCTTCAATAATGGCAGAACGATTTTTAAGCAATTCGATGAAAATTTGCATTGTTGTCCGTGTGGAGTACACAGTGCGCGTTTCGTCGTCATGAGACCATTTTTGGCCTTCAGCCAATTTGAAGCAATCGCGCGATTTCGACGATACCGTGAAACAAAAGCTATTTTTGATTTCATTTTAAAAAATAATTTTAAAAAAATTGAAACGGGAGTTTTTAAATAGATTTCCTTCGATATCTTTCATTTACATTAATTGGCATCTGCGGACAATTTTAGCCGGATTGTTTGAAGGGTAGCTCTCGCCCCCCAAAAAAAAAATCAAGGTTTTCGACCCGGCAAATAACACACGAATCGTTCTTGCAAAAATGTGTTGTGACGTCAGCAGCAAATCTCGCCGCAGATCGCGCGCGCGAATTGATCTACATCTACATCAAACACCTCGTCTCGTCACGTCGAAAAATGCCGTTTTGAACGAAATCGAGCCGTTTGATTTTAGACGTCAATTTTCGGAATTTCTCACACAATTTAACGATTCGAAAAATTTTGTTTTGTTAGTTTTGGAGAGGCGTTAAAATATTTTATCCACTGTATAAAATATTTAAATAGTCTGCAAGATTTACGAAAATTAAAAGGGTCCCATCAAGAAGACTTCATCAACTTAACGATTCTAAGAATTTTTGTAAAAAAAATTTTTAAAAGAAATTTAAAAGAAATTTTGCACTTTAAAAGAAATTTTGCATGCGAGTGTAATTTCTTTTTTGCAATTTTCCCTTCATTCAACTTCCTTCAAAGAAAACCCAATCATATATTTCATATAATATTGCATTTGGCTCATCTGACGAGACAGAGAACACTCACATATTGTGGCAACTTGGCCGAATGCCCGAATGTGAAAGTTGTTCGACCAATCCCCACGTGGGTTCGCGGTTTTCAAGAAACAACGTGACTTGCCATCTTCGCACTTCAGAAGTCGAGACCCGCAACCGGTTCTTTTGATTCGGTGCACTTTGAAGAATGCGACACTCACACTATTTTTAATTTTTCAGCCTATTTTTACTCTTTTTCCAAACCAAAACAAGCTATGAATTGTTTCATTTATATTTGATTATACTCGAAGAATTGGGGCTTCATCCGAATTTCACTCGACTAGAGTTTGTGAGAGAAGATGACTATGTTAGTGTGGTACATTTTTATATAAAGAAATTTCGAAAAGAGAAATGGAATATTTACGGTAGCCGCTTGTTTTTTTTTTTGCTGGAAAACGCACTATAAACGAAATAATGTGTGCAAACACGGCGACGTGAAATCACGTACTCCAAACTCCAATCTGATTTGAATGTTTTTGACATTTTTTTCCATTCTATTACATCGATTCCATGAGCAATGAAACATTTAAAGGAGCATAGGTCACGATTACTGTAGAATACATTTCTCGAATTGAAAATTCTCCAATCTCTGATCTTTTTTTTTCTTCCGAGATGTGACAATTTGATGAAAAATTTCCAATAAACACTGATTTTTTAATTTTATCCAAACATCCCCAAAAAAAAATTCAATAATTTTTCATCGTCAAAAAATCGTTTCCGACATTCGCTTTTTTTTTCGCAAAAACTCGAATTTGCTTAGAATCCATTTTTAAATGAGAATCACGGAAGAAAAACTTTGCAATTAATTGATAGAAAAAAAGCTGAAACTGGTCTGGAAATGACCACACCAAGTGTTTCTTCGAATGACCATTTTGTTTTTCATATCAATCATCGAATTCAATGTCATTCTGATGCCAAATTTTCGCTTTCTAAATTATTTTATCGACTAATCGTTTTTCGTCCTTGTTTTTCTTTAAAGGTGATGCTTGTGAGAACTAAAATCGAACGACTTCCCGATTGAATTGAAATTGTGAAGAGCCGGCCGGAAATATGTCCGAGACATGCTTATGACGTGTTCGGAATTTGTGAAATTGATTTGAATTAAAAAAAAGGTAGAAGAAGTCACGAATTTATTTTTAGAATCATTTTTCCGTCCGTTCTGACTATTTTTAACTTCCTATTTTGTGCAATAAATGAATCCCTCTGCAAACACGCTCATTTTCAGGTCCGCATTATTTCGAATCTATTTTTAAAATTTGTATTTCTTTTTTTTTTCTTTTTTAGGTTCTTCCCATCAGAGTAAATTTTAAGAAAAAGCAATATAGTCGTCGAAAGAAAAAAAATTGAAAAATTTTGAATTTCGCGGGCGCTCCTTTAAGTGGTCCCTAAAAATGTAATTATTACAAAACGCTTTTTAAAAACTTCAAAAAAAAATGATGGACTTTCATATTTTGTTGATTAAATTACACAAAACTCGCTGCAATGAATTTTTCCATGCGAGACCCAAAGCGACAATTCAAAATGATACGTGGAATTTGAAAAAAAATTCGATTGACGTTCACGAAAATCCGGTTTAGGCGTTAACTTGTGCATTTTGAGTTGAGTTGCGACAGAATTTAATCCTTATTTGGATTAGGCAGACGGACCATGTGACCAGCTCAACGTGACATGAGATACATGAACCCCAAATATCATATTTTCGAACACAGATGACTTCCAAATAGGGGTTGGGCGGCCCGTAAGAATTCGAATGAGACGATTCTATCAGTATTAATCGTGTTCAAAACTACGGTATCCATTAAAGGCGCATGCAAAAATTGGTTAAATACAACCGAACTTGACCTAAATTTTTTAAATTTCCGATAGTTTCGTGTCGAGATTTTTGGAAAGATTAAAAATGAATGATCAAACTATTTTTTGAACTACATTTTTTGGTGGATTTCAACGTGATCTTGTCCATTTTTTTTTCATGTTTCTCATGTTTCAGAATAAACTATTTTTATTCATCGACGGGCCAAGTTTTGCGGATTTGTAATTGATACTATTAATCCGGTTTTGACCAAATATAGGATGGGACCTTCCAATTTTAAAATATCCTTATTTTTTGTATACTTTGATCATTAATTTTTCGAATTAAACAAATTTTGTTTCCAAAAAATTGAATTTCTATAAAGTTAATTAGTGAACGGAAACTGTTGTCAAAAAATGGAAAAATGTAGGAAGTTTAGGCCAATATTAGCATCAACTCTTGACTGGAAAATAAGAGATTTTGTGAATGCCCCTTTAATGTATACTGTAATCCGCCTTCCTGCAGTTTGTGTGTTTCGAATATAATATTTTCAAATGAAATAATTTGAACCAGTCGCTTCGTTTGAGTCAGTTCGCTGTGAGTGACTCATTTTCGACGGCTGTAACCAGGTGTGATTCGAATCAGCCCTCAATCCCCCCGCCCCGCCACGCCCCTTCTCTCATTTTCGGATCTCAACTACCACCCCGAATCCGATGCGTAATATTTTGGTTCCTCGTCGAAATCTGCGTAGGCGTCTTCCCATTTTATTGTTTGTCGGCTCCCGATTTCGTTTCGTTTTTGCGAGAGCAAGACGGGGTGGCGAAAAAAAAAATAACGCATGCAATAATCTATTATTTGTTTGCTTTTCGTTTTTTTTTCTTCTTTAATAATTTCGAAAATTGAAAATCGCCAACGCCGCCAAATTTGGTGAAATTGTTTTGTTCAACGATCGAATCACACCAAAAAAAACAGCAGGGCCCAACTGAAATTGCAGGAGTCATCACTAAACCGCCTCCAACGTATCATTTTTTGTCAACCCAAACTTTCATTGGCCTCGAGTTTCGATAATAATTCCCATCTGCGGACCACTGACAAGTCAAACATGTTATTCAAGAATTGTTTGAAATTTCCACTTCAAAAAGACTGACAATCGAAAACTTGCAAACATTTGAAAGCAAAAAAAAGCGAGTTATTATGAAAAGTTGCAAGCCCCAAAAACTGACAGCAGTTTTCGTTTTTTTTTCTCGATTTTTCATTCTCGCCATTCTTGTCATCATCAAAAAAAACTTGCATCATCTCACCTTTGTCTCGCTCATTTTTCAAAGAACACATCAAATATCCGATTGCCTAGACCGTTTTTCTTTGTACGATCACTCAGTTTCCATCAAATTAATTGAGTAGGATCATCGGGACCCTTATAATTATAATATAGTGGCTTCTCTCCAACCAATTCTTCTTCTTCGCCGCTCCATTTCGTCTCATTCATTTTGTCTGTCTGTGTGTATGTGTGTGGGTTTCCAATTTCGCGCACAAATTCGAAATTCTTTGTGAAATCTCATTCGTGGTTTTAGTTGTCAAAATAACGCGGCTAATCGAAAAACTTCAACGGAGCCTCTCGCATGAGATGAGCTCCTACAGCTCACTCAACAATCTCATACCCACCGAGAACACTTATATTCTCAATGCGGAGTATTCGGTGAGTGGTTTCAATCTGCTTAAATCATTTCGATCGCCATCGATCACCCCTCCCTCATTTTTTTGGTGCCGAATTTCGTCAAACTTCTTTTTCGTATTTTTTTTTCACAATTCACACTACGATTTGGCTAAATTTGCTACAAACAACGAATTTCACACGTTCGCACTCTTGTGAAACTATATTGAACAATTTCAGGGATATTTTCAGAGAGAGAGCAAGGCTCTTTTAAATTAAATCCTAAAAATCAAAATTTTCGGGCAATGCGTTTGAATTCGCGCCGAAATGGCGATAGTCGCAGACGGATTTTTCCTATTTTTAAATTTTCTCAAAAAATTCATTTCGATTTTTTTCATTTTCGAAATTGATTTATTAAGAATTGAGTGTTTAAAAAATTAAACAGAAAATTGAAATAATTGGCATTCACAACATTTGATTTCACGCCAATAATCTTACATTTTAAATTGGCAATAGCGCGCAAAAATGTGTGTGCAACCACCGCGACGCAAGATCACAGAAAATTTAAAAAAATCTCATTGGGGACTGGTTTTTTTAAAAAGCTAATTTGAAATATTTTAGATTCTTTATTAAGTGATTATACTGCCTATAATCACTTTGGTACATTGAGGTTGGGATGATTTATTTTAGAATGGAAATTCGTGGCCGGGCAAGTCGGGCTCATTTTTTTTTCAAATTCCATAAAATGATGCGAATTGATATACAGTAATTCCTGCTTAGGTCTCGACGCGAAAACTAATATGCAAGTAAAGAATATTGATTGAGAAATTTGATATGGCTTTTTTTTAAATTGGGAATCGATTGTGGCAAAATGCTAAATCCCGTCATTTCATGCTTCAAACCATTCAATTTGTCCACTTACCAATAACATTTTGTAAACAAAATTTTGTGCTATTTCTCATCTAAATATTAGTTATTCAAATGTCAATGAAATGCCAAATCCACCAAGTGTCGAAATGTATTCTCATTGATTTCTCAATTCACCTTCTCATTCGTTTATAATACGTTTTTATTTTTTCGTCAAGAGACACACTTCGGGACAAACTTCGAACTCACTAAGCAAAAAAAAATAATCATAAATAATATTGTTCTGTGAAAATTGACCACGAGGAATGAAAAATAACAAATCAAAAAAAAAAACAAGAAAGCGATTTTTCCAAAGGTTATACGTACGTGACAAATATGATATGTATTAGATGCTGATTTGAGAGGGTCTGTTGAATATTCCCATAAGCTCATAGGTATAAAAAACCCCAATTTTGCTAATATTCGATTTCCGGAAATTCTGTTCATTTTAAGCCTCATTCCCCGCCTTTTTTTTTGGGGAAAAATTTTTTGGTTTTCTAGATAGTTGAGGAAGATCCTGAAGTTCTTCGGGATTCTTGTAGAGAGCCAACATGCCCAATTTCAGTTGATTTTTTTGGATTTCAGTACATTTGTGGCTTCCAATCATCATCATTTCATCTTCGCATAATAACGCATAATTGATTGCGGCAATAGGGAATAGTTTAAAAATTTGTTGGTGCGAAACTTGTTTCTTATTTCGCCCCATCAAGATTTTCCCAGCCAACCCCTCTGCGTGTGTGTCTCGGTGAGAAACAGCCGAACATCAGAAAATGTATGAATAAAGGGCGGATACAAAACAAAAAAAGAATCGACACCCCTCTCATTTCACTTCTGCCTTCTCCTCCCCCCCACCACCTTCTGCCCCCACCTTCCTTCCTCGCCGACCAATCTCGAATCGGTGTGCCCCACCGATTCATGCCGATAATCGTTTAGCATTCGGAATTCAAGGATGTCGCGCGTTGTAGCCAGTCGTCGACATGTCTATAAGATTCTCACCAATCGAGATTCACAGCTTTCTTGTAGTTATACAACCGCTAATCAGAGAGTCCTAATTAAGGTTTGTGTCCGCTTCTTCAATTAATTGCACCCTTTTCCACTTCATCTCGGCACACCGAAAATTATCAAAAAAATTGAGACAAATATCAATTATGGGATAATAGAAAAATGTTGGGGGGGGGGCATGTCTGGCCAAATAAGATGTTGATGGTTTCACATCGGTTGATAGTGCCAGCCTTTTAGAAATAATAATTCGTGACTGAAAGAGGGAAATATTCAAAAACCCGAGCCTCGTTTAATTTTTCTTTAAAAATAATTTGAATTTGGTGATCTACGTCAGATTTTAATTGTAAATTGACGGTTTGTGAAAAATTTTCAAATTTTCCAAAAAAAAAATTCCCTTTTTTTCAAATTTTCCAAAAAGAAAAACTAAGCAGAAATATTTAAAAATAATATTGTTGACCTCGCGAGAACTGCGGAAAATTGGCAAAATGCCAAAAAAGTGGTCTCGATGCGCCGTGTGCACCTTTAACCTATCCTTATGCATAGGCCCGTAAATCGACACTTTCAGTTTTGAGCCAAGACCATTGCCGCTGCTTTTTTTGGCAATTAGCCAATTTTTGCGCGACCAATTCGAAATAAGTGATTTCCAACAATTTCCTTCTACAGAAGCTGATGACTGAATTTCCGAGAGCATTTTTTTTTTCATTTTAACATTGGGGCAAAAATGGGCAGAAAAACCACAAATAATCTTCTTAAAATTTCAGACCGCAATTTTTCAGATGGCCAATTAATTGGAAAATTGTCAAAGTTTAAAAAATTCAATTTTGATTTGAAAAAATCTGAAAATGATAGCTAAACAGTTTTAATTTTGTAGAATATTTGAAGCAACCTTATTTTTTTTCTTTGTCTTGAAGCTTTCAAAAAGAATCACAAGAGAATAGCTTGTGAGACCGGTAGATCAGAGAGGAAGAAGCTACAATCTAGTGGCCAACAAATCAAATATTCTCAATTTTCCTTTATTATGGTCTACAAATATTGTGGAAGCACAAAACGAGCCGAGACTGTGCTCGTTCGAAACACAATACGAATTTGTGTTCTCTAGTTTGCCCACAAAAACAAACAAACAGAAAAAAAACGAAAATTGGATTATTTTTTTTTGGGGGGGGGGTCGCATGTTTTTCCCACATTGCAACATTTACTGATAAGCAATTTTCTGAGAACTATTGATAACGAAATTTTTCGACAAAAAAAATTAGAAATGACGTGAGACAATTGGACCACAAAATGAATGAATAATCAAAGAATGGGATTTCAGAATGGCGTATCTCTCGAAGAGGGAAAACAAGCATCATCTTCGCTTCTTCGCGACACTGGTACAAAAATAAATTTGAGAAGCGGACCAAAAATTGAAATTGCGTTTTTATAGGCCAGACGAATAGGTCACCGAATACATTGAATACGTGTGCATCTACAGTTAACCGATATCGATTCATTTTTCTGGTTTCATTCACTTTTCTATTAATCACATTGTGCATTTCTCTTGCGGCGTTTATTTATTTCCGGCCAATTCGTAAGTTGCATTTTGCGTTCGTCGTTCAATCCTCGTCGCTCGTTTCAGCGTGTACATCGGGCTCTTGTGTGATGACGGCTTCTCGATTATTGAGTCGAGCTGATCAGAGCATCACACCGTGCGATGATTTCTATCAGTACGCGTGCGGAAATTGGATCAACCAATCGGTCAATATACTGTATGCCTCGTGGAATTCGCTGTACGAGACGCAAATGAAGGCGCACGATAAAATTGTGAATGTGATTAGTCAAGGTAATATCGATTTTTGAGAAAAATATGATTTGAATTGCTCAGGTAAATGAAAATCAATCGAATTCGAAGAAATATGAAATATAAATTAACCTGATACGATTGAAAAATAATTAAAATTCGATTCGATTTGCAAAAGTTTGGTTTCGCTTCAAAAATCTTCGCAATCTTGTTTCTCATTGTTTCTCAATTTCAATTTTGAAATTCTAGAATATTTCGAAACAGATTAATTTATATTCGATTTCGATAGAGAACGAAATTAATTTCGAATCCGATTGATTTTCATTTACCCGAGTCCGTTTTTCTTTTCAAAACAACCAACGTTTTTTTGTGTACGATTTGAATTGTCGCATTGGGTCTCGTATGGAAGAAGCGAGTTTTACTGAATTTAATCAAAATCGTGTGAAAGAGCAATTTTTTAGGGGGTGGGGGTATTAAGTATTCCCTGGTAAATGAAAATTAATCGGATTCAAAAATAATTTCGTTTCAGTCGAAATCGAATATCTGTTTCGAATTATTCCAGAATTTCAATCGATTTCGATGTCAAAATTGAAATTGAGAAATAAATCAACAATTTCGAAGATTTTTTAATCGAAAACCAATTTTTCAAACTGAATCAGGTTAATTTATCTTTCATTTTTCTTCAAATTAGATTGATTTTCATTTACGTGATTGTCAGTTTTGCCTATTTCTCAAAATGTCAAAATGACGCAGAATATTTTAATCGAGGACCAATTAATTGGCAGCCCGCGCAAATCAAATTTTTCAAATTGGTCGGTCCTTATCAATATTTAAAATTCTTCAAAAAACAATGCTTTTTCACATTGTGATGACTAAATTAAACAAACGAGCTTCTATGAATTTCCATACGAGACCAAAAGCTGTGATACACGTAAATAGGACCCCCCGAATACAATTATAGTATGAGTTGACACATTTTTTTCATTATTAAAACTATGAGAAAAAAGAACGTTGCATTTGACATGATATCATTCCCTATTGTGAGAAGTTTGGTAGAAATTCAACAACAAACCCAATGTATTTTTTTTTGCTTTCCAGTGCTCGATGACTCATTTCCCACTGAAATGAACGCTGGCGAGAAAGCGGCAGCCCTTTTATACAAACAATGCACCGATCTCGATACACTCGAACAGGTCGGACTCAACACGTGGAAAAGATATGTGGAATTGCTCGGCGGCTGGATGCCGGAGCTCGCCGAAGGCGGCTATATGGACGAGCCGTCGGAATTCGAAATCGAGGACATGATTCTGACGGCGTTCAATTACACCGTCTTCCCATTGTTCTGGGCCGGCGTCGAAGTCAGCTATTTCAATTCGAGCAAACATTCGATAACGGTAGTTTGAAGAAGAACAAGAAATAAAAAGGAGATCACATTTGACATTTTTGTAGATTTACGAGCAACTTCCGATTTTGCTCGCCGCCGACAAATACACGTTCGATAAAGAAGTGACACCGGAAATGATTTTCAGCAAATCGGATGGACCACCGGTAGATCAAAAAATAAAAGGAGCCGAGCAATCCATTTATTCAGGTGACTCTCGCGTTGCAAGAAGTTGGAGAGGAACTCGCCGAATTATTGGATTTTGATAGAAAAGATGAGAATGTGAGAATGATGATCGCGAATATGATTCATCTTGAATACCAAATCACATCGAGCGGCTCGACTGTAAGTCAGATTGAGGCATCCACGCCGGGTGACCGGATTCCGCCTTCGCCAAATTCTTTTTTTCGCCAGCATGATAAAATTAAAAATTGCATTACCATTGCAAAAAAAAACCAGCGTCTTGCATTATTGTGGACCATCGCAGTTTTTCGAGGCGGTAATTCAAATTCGATTTTTTCCGTACTCTGGATAACCTGTGAATCAAACTCCGCGTAATTCGACGCCGTTTTTTTTGCGAATGTAATTTTTTCGTAGACGGATGAATTCAAGGAACTTTCTTTTTGAATACTTGCATTGGGTCTTGTCTGGAAAAAACTTTAAAAATCGATTTGGCCATTTCTTATGGTGAAAATTTCTCGAAAAAAAAATAATATTTTTTTAGGAGAAATTTTCAAATTTAAACGAATTTCTTCGCAATTTTTTCAATTCATCTAAAAGATTAATTTTTTTTAAATTATTTTTCAATATACTCAATTGATTTCTTTAAAGAAATCAGCGAAAAAACCTGTATAAAAATTGAGCTCGTAGACGAAAAATTTTTGAATTAATGGCGGACGTGAAATGTGCGATGGCCGAATAATTTGCGGCCACGGGCGAAGGGCAGGCGTTGGATGTTTTAAGTCAAATTATACATTTAAAAAACGCAGACTACGATTTTCAGTTTTATAAAGAGAAAAAAGAGAGATATGAAGTTGTGACATTGGGCCAACTTCAACAAATTGCGCCAGCGGTAGGGCAAATTTTTTTTAAATATTTGGGACCATTGAAATCAATATTTAGATTAATTGGCGTTATTTCTTTTCTCGTCTTTTGGGAATGGAGCTTGATTATGGCGAGGAGATTGCAATCAAGACGGGTGCTGAATGGATAGTGACTCTTTCGAGAATCATTGCCGATCTTAAGAAGACTCGTCAAGGTGTTGCCATCATCAAAAACTATATCAAATGGAAGACGATTCTGTTCCATTTGGCGTACGCCAGCCCAAAATGTCAGAATGGCCTTTTATGGGTTTGATTTTGTAGCCTCACAATAATGATCAACGAAATACTCCAGATTACTGTCAGCTTGTATGGCGGCGCTCGAAGTCAACGCAAAGAGTTTTGCGTTTTGAGACTGTCGGGAATATTCCCGTTGTCGTTTCCATCGATTCTCCGCAAAATCGATGGAATGGAAAAGTCGGATGAAAACAAGAGAATGGTGCAGAATATGACGGAGCACATTTCGGACGAGTATCGCAAGATTATCGAGAAGACTGACGTGTTCGTGAATGAGCAAACGAGACAGAATGTGTTGGACAAGGTTGATCCGATCGATTGGAACCCCAGTTTTTGAAATATTATTTTTTGAGATTTCGAATCTGACAAAACACATTAGTTTTCCGGATAAAATGACAAGCGATTATGAGATGAACAAGGAAGCCAATAGGGTATTTCGATTCGATCATTCTGCGCATATAATCAATTGATGTCAGGTTTCTGATGAATTCTTCTGGTCAATGGCTATTGGAGCGTCTTCAGTTTATCGTGAAAAACTCAAGCGACTGAGAAAAGCGGTTGATCCGAAGGATTGGATCGACACGAGGCCGGCGCTTTCGATTCCGGCACATAATTATGAAAGGAACCTCATTCAAATACCTTTCGATTCATTGAGATTACCGTACGCGGATAAATCGCAAATGGAGTGAGTATTGGATTCATTTTCGATTCGCCCGCTTAAGCAAAAAATTTTATCGAATATTTGTTTTAGCTTCGCTAATTATGCTGGAATCGGCTCCATAATTGGACACGAAATGACGCATGCGTTCGATGCGCAGGGTATTGCCGAAATCGGCAGCAGTCGCCATTGTGTTCTTTTGAATCGTTTCAGGCAAATTGCATGGTCCCACTGGAAGTTTGGGACATTGGTGGGATGTCGAATCGCGGAGAAAATTCACACAAAAGGAGCATTGTTTTGTGAGGCAGTATACGCAATTGCACGCGTCGCAGGATGTAAGAGTTGATGGCGAAAAATTTTGGAATTTTTTTCTCTGATTCAGAATGCGGCAGCGAGAGCTGGACTCTATGAGAATATTGCTGATTTTGTCGGTCTCAAAGTCGCATACGAGGTAAATATTGATATAGTTTTTGACGAACTTGGATTTTGATCTCGTTTTTTTTGCTTGATATTCAATTATGGATTAATCCGATGTTTAGGCGTGGAAGATTCATGGGAAGGATCAAAGCGCGCAACTGGCCGGCTGGAACAACTTCACGCAAGACCAACTGTTTTTCCTGGCTTATGCCCAAGGATGGTGTGCGCTCAAATCGAAGCAACCGCGTGAGGTGCACATGGAAGAGCGATACCGAATGATCGGCTCGCTGCAAAACTCGGCCGAGTTCGCGCGAGCCTGGCAGTGTCCGACTGGAAGCTACATGAACCCGAAAGACAAATGCACATTATGGTGAGAACCACTCGATCTCTCGTTTCAATTCACCTAGTCCTAGAAAACATATATCTGATCATTATTCTATCATACCTCATTTATTTTGTTAGCTTTAAAATGTCGAAATCCGTCCGAACATTCCGATCCATGACATTATTTGAAATGAATTCATAATTCAAGAAACAAAAAGAAAACGAATTCTAGTCAATCTGAGCCCCCAGTTTTATCAATCAAATATTCATTTTTTTGTGTGTGTTTGTCGCGATCTCTTCTTTATATTATATCCATATAATAATCAATCCATTGATAATTTTATTCAATAATTGAATTGTTGCATTATTTCTAACTGAAAGTATTTTGTCTTTTCTTCACTGGATAATAAATAATTTTGTTGAAAACGACGAAGAGAATAAAAAAAAGAAGCGAATGCAATTAGACGATGGGGGGTTTGTTGCAAAATCTAATCTTTCAATTCTTTTGTTTTCCGAATCGATGCCAATGTTTTCGTTGGTGACTACTATTTCTATGACTTTTGTTCATCGTCGAGTTAATTGCATTTTATTTTATTAGTCGGATTACTTGAATTTTGTTGACATAACTCTTGTAGCCAGTAATTTCTTAGCGACGGCTGTGAGAATATGAGATTGGGGATGGCCGCGAGTTTCCCGGCCAGCGAAAACTAGTCCCTAAGAAATGTGCCAATTTCATTGAAGGTCTTTGAGAATTTTTGGAAGAAATTCGATTTCATATCAACCTTTCTTCGAGGATTTTTAAAAATTTTTTTTCTCTTCATATCAAAATGTTTTTATTATTTGAAAAAAACCTAGAATCGAAAGAAAACGCCACATTCTTGCTTACCTTATTTGTGATGAGCAGCCGACTAATTTCGGAGTAGACGACATATTTGGCAGTTGTTGGGAAATGGCACGCAAATCCAAAAAAAAACAAGCCCATTCAAGTAATGGAGACAACCAACCAACCAGGCCCCAACCCTTCTCTCTCAACCCAAATTTTCAGCCAGCCCTTTTTTTCGAGTACTTTAAGTATACAATTACCAATATTTTGATACGATGTGACGTAATGTTGACAAGAACAAAAAGTAAATTGACCAAAAATAGATATACCCCTTGTTTGGCAATTGTTGAAATTCGATCAGACCTAATATGGGTGCCCCCCCCCCGCCAGAATTGGCTTCAGCCGATTATAACAAATATTCTGAACAGTATTATGAGATTAACTAGAAAAAAACAAGCATTTCAATGTGATAATCAACAATTTGCGAGAAAAGCCAAAAGAACAACTCGAGTGGCTATCAAATAAATTTATTTGTTCACGTGATTTCGCTATAATGAAAGCGAATATCATTCAAGTTGAATGCAAGCAGTTTAAAAATTGTTGCAGAATCTCTATGGAAATTAGCTGGACCCAATCAGGCAAAAATGACTGAATTGGTTTTTCTCAAAATTACAGTAGGGCAAGGGAAAATCGAGAAACGGTAGAGCGTGAGGAGCCCATAATTAGTGGCTCGTCAATTCTAGCTCATTTTCAGAAAATGCTACTAAAACGTGTCGAAAGTTTTAATTAGGGGTCCTAGGGGGTTGAACTTCAAATAGTTAACGCATGGTGATTTCTACACGAGCAAACCTTTCCACTGAAATTTCAAAGCTTGGTCGGTTGAAGCGAGATTTTCGCAGGCTCGAACTAACTGATCACTTTAGATCTTGTTTAAAACGGGTCACTATTTACCGGTTTCTGTTGATTTTTAATAAATTGATCTTTTCGTTTTAATTTTTCGAAAAAATTAATAACTTATGTGTAGAATTTATCACTTTTATTGTTTTATTTGTTGTCTAAAAATTTCAGAGTGATTGGACTACTTTCAGAAAAGTTATGCTCAAAAAACCATTTTTTGATTTCTTTATGGCCAGCACTGTAGGTCCCATCTGGGCATTATATCTTTTCTCAGCTTCGTGGTTCCGAGTGAATGTATTTGTTTGTGGTCCCAATTTGGGTGTTCCGTCGGAAGCATTATTTTTTGTATATGGGCTCTATAAGGTTTCGCGTGAATATTATATAATAGCAAATTTTTATTAATGCTGTTGCCTCTTGGATGGAACCATATATGTACGATTCCTGAGCGGACAGTTGTCGATTTACGAGCATTACAATGGTGCCGCGAATAATTATTTTATGATTTTCGCACAAATTGTTCATTGTATTTTATTGAATTTATCCCTGACTTCCATGATTTTTTGAAAATAATTGTAAAAAATATTGAAATGAGCCCTAGATATTGAACAAAACTTTGACTCCATGCGGGGGTGGATAATATCGAAATGCGCTTGCAAATCTGCAATTGCCAGAATGCATACATTTTTTTAGATTCAAATGACTGATTTCAATTTGAAAAAAAATTAGAAATGCGCCAAGTATCTCGAAGTAAAGAGAAGTGCGCATGGGTGCGTATATTGCATTTTTGCGTGCGTCAATTTAACACTGAGTCAATGCTCGTAAAACTACACCGACATTCAATGCCCCGCCTCATTTTCGTTATGTCTCCTGATTCACGTGAATCTCTTACTTCATTGATTTCAATCTTGTTAGTTCGAGCCTGCGAAAATCTCGCTTCAACCGACCAAGCTTTGAAATTTCAGTGGAAAGGTTTGCTCGTGTAGAAATCACCATGCGTTAACTATTTGAAGTTCAACCCCCTAGGACCCCTAATTAAAACTTTCGACACGTTTTAGTAGCATTTTCTGAAAATGAGCTAGAATTGACGAGCCACTAATTATGGGCTCCTCACGCTCTACCGTTTCTCGATTTTCCCTTGCCCTACTGTAATTTTGAGAAAAACCAATTCAGTCATTTTTGCCTGATTGGGTCCAGCTAATTTCCATAGAGATTCTGCAACAATTTTTAAACTGCTTGCATTCAACTTGAATGATATTCGCTTTCATTATAGCGAAATCACGTGAACAAATAAATTTATTTGATAGCCACTCGAGTTGTTCTTTTGGCTTTTCTCGCAAATTGTTGATTATCACATTGAAATGCTTGTTTTTTTCTAGTTAATCTCATAATACTGTTCAGAATATTTGTTATAATCGGCTGAAGCCAATTCTGGCGGGGGGGGGCACCCATATTAGGTCTGATCGAATTTCAACAATTGCCAAACAAGGGGTATATCTATTTTTGGTCAATTTACTTTTTGTTCTTGTCAACATTACGTCACATCGTATCAAAATATTGGTAATTGTATACTTAAAGTACTCGAAAAAAAGGGCTGGCAGAAAATTTGGGTTGAGAGAGAAGGGTTGGGGCCTGGTTGGTTGGTTGTCTCCATTACTTGAATGGGCTTGTTTTTTTTTTGGATTTGCGTGCCATTTCCCAACAACTGCCAAATATGTCGTCTACTCCGAAATTAGTCGGCTGCTCATTTTCGACGTTTCCGCCCGCCCACTCGTCCAATTTCGGTCGAATTTTGCCCACTTTAGAGAATGTTTACCTCTTTTGAAATGTTTCAGCTTCAAAGAAGAAAAAATGATGATGTCTCTCAAATTTTTCATTTCAATATTGTCGACGTCGCGCGACTGCGAAAAAATTGGCAAAATGCCAAAACATTTAAAAAGAGGTCTCGGTGCGCGGTGTGCGCCTTTAACCTATAAAACTTTAACCTCTAACCTATACATAGGCCCAAAAATCGACACTTTTAGTTTTGAGCCAAGACCATTGCCGCTGCTTTTTTTGGCAATTAGCCAATTTTCGCGCGACCAAAAATTCGAAATAATTGATTTCCAACAATTTCTTTATACAGAAGCTCATGACTGAATTTCCGAGAGCATTTTTTTTTTCATTTTATCATTGGGGCAAAAATGAGCAAAAAAACCACAAATAATGATCACCGTTATAATTTTTGGAATTTAGGGAATTTTCCGCGGTCAATATTATAATCACAAAAAAAAACTGAAAACGCTCATGTCCGTGAGTTTGATTAGCCGCTTATCCGTAGTATTCCCCGCCGTTTGAATCGAAATTCGAAAGACCACACCAAAAGCATCCGATGGTCCACAAATTCTCGATGGTCTGGTTTATTTATGATGGTAAAATTAAAGGGAGGGTGATAGCTGAAAAAATAGGCATAAAACCGAATTATGTTATTCATTAATGTTTGTCTGACCGAATTGAGTCGAAAATTCGAAAATTGAGGCGCGAATTTGCAAAACATGAAGAGTACGCGTGCTTACACCAAATGCATTTTATTTGACGACTATTTTTGAACATGCGATTTTCAAGTGATTAATGCCCCATTTTTGGTGTTTCGAGATGCAACTAAAGAAATGTATGAAAAAAAACCCAAAGGAAAATTGAAAGAAAGCAAAATTGAAATCATTGCGGACTTGTGCATTTCATTTGACGACAATGTAAAAACCTTTTTTTCTATCCGCTATTAATTAAATGATTCTTGCTGTTACGACCCATCCTACCCCTTTAAACAGAGAATGACTTCCTCATACTTAAGCTATCAAGGATTGGCTTACATCTTGCCTCCTAAGGAGAAGCTTAAAATTAGGGACCATTACATGTTATAATGTTTTCGTAAAAGTGTTTCAAAATATTTCATGAAGCATTTTTATTTCAAAATTCTGAAGGTTCATTGGCTCTCAATATTTTTCATATTCCGTTATATGAGAACCTTTAAAGGGACATACTATAACTAGCTCGCTTTCCTCGAAATACCTATTTATATCGAAAACATTTCATTTCGTCGATTCAGTTTTTTTTATAATTCAAAAATAACACAACATTTCAAAAATATGACACCACACACCATAATTATCACAGTTTAAGCGCCAATTAAAATTTACGTAAATTATTGATAATTGTGCATCGGTTCCTCCCATTCTATAGATTTTTTTTAATTCTCTCCTCACTATTTTATTATAATTAGTTGACGAACTGGTTTGCCATCAGTGTAATTGTATAAATGCACGACACATAACATTTAGAAGGGTGTTAACTATA